CGACGCCGGCGCGACCCGCCCCGTCGCCCCGCACTGTCCGCCGACGGTAGGGCAGCAGCGGGCTGAGGCTGGCGCCCCCTGGAGAACACGCCCGGGGCTGCTGCGCGAGGCGTGCCGGCCAGCTCGGCGGCCGGGCGTCACGCAGACGGTCGGCGCCGCCCGCGCCGCGGTGGGCACCTGCACAGCGGACCGACGGTCACCTGGCCAGTGCTGAGACAACTGGTCGCGGGGAAGAGCCCGCCCCATTGGCGGGTGTGCAGACTGGGTGGAGGTGCTCTGTCCAATCATCGGGGTGGGTGGTTGCGCTGCCGCATGTGCTCGTCCCTCGCTTTGCAGCTTCAAGCAAAAACAGTTGGGCTTTGGTGTCCACTTTGTTTTGAGGTGGTCACCTGCCAATAATTGCAAGCCAGGTACACCGGTGGCATGAGTGGACTTATCCTATTACGCATGTGGCTGGGTTACATCAGATACCGATAGAACGTGTAGATCATTCCAAACGCACGCCGACGTCAGGTTCCCATCTACACCTAGCCTTCTCTTGCAGAGCGGGGTCGAAGGGCGCGGAGCGGGGTGCGATCTGACCCGACCCCAGAGCAGACGTGCCCACACCGGCCTGCTTCATCAAGCCAACTAGTCCCCGCCGACGCGCGTACGGCGGACCTGGTCCTTCCGTCGAGAGGCCCAATATCAATATCTCGGTCGACCCTCGCGACAAAACGCAGGCTTCAGTCTCCGCTCGAACGGCGGCTAAATTCGACGGGGCTCGGTCCCAGGAGACCGGAAGCTAGATTGAAACTGGGCTCAGCTTTGGACGGGGCCGGGGCAGCTGCGCTGGCTCCGGGTAGGTCAGGTACACTTCTGCGCTATTGCCCCATCACTCGTGGTCTATTCTGCCCGCCAGGGGGCGCAGCAGCCGGGCCGGCCAACTAAATGGACACCGCGTAACGGGCCTGATCACAGGCAACGAATAGCCCGATTTTGCGAAGTCCGCTGGTGCTCTAATTGGCTTCCTGCAACTGTGCGATGCGCTTTAAAACGACGACTTAATCTAAAAGCCTTTACAAGTAATCATGCGCACAAAATGTCTGCACTCAGACGCACCATACAGCAGGAAGGGCGGCGTAAACGCCGCTGGCAACCACGCACACCCGTGAAGCGATTTCAACCACACGTGGTTAAAGATTGACCAAACAATCAGACCGCATCGACCCGCTCGGCAGCAGCCGCAGAGGATCCCACTGGGACTGCCAGCAATAGCGCCTCAGTCCCGAGAACGGTCTGCGGCGCTCTTACCACCGCCATGGCACCATCGTCCATGTCACGGCATCCTCCCTAGCTTCCTCTGCTCTCCTGACACACGGCGCCCTCGCCACGCCACGGTGCCCTCCCTGCCTCCCCCTGCTCTCCTGACACACGGAGCCCTCGCCATGCCGCGGCGCCCTCCCCGCCTCCGCCAGCTCTCCCGACACACGGCGCCCTCGCCACCGCCACGGCGCCCTCCCAGCCACCACGGCGCCCTTCCTGTCTGCCGCCGCTCCTGACACACGGCGACCCGGAAAACGGCCGGCCCGGAAGCGGCGCGGCCCATTCGGCTCAGCTTATTAAGCGCGACGCTCGTACGTCACCGGGTCGCGTCGGATGATTGGGCCGACGACGGCCGGCGCCGCGCCGGCCGCCGCTCATGGCGGCGCTGTGTGTCAACCCCGGTCGGCCCGGCGTGGTCGCGCTCAGGGGCGCCGGCTCTGGAGGCCGTCCACAGCCGCAGGTCTCGTAGCAGCTGCAGGTCCCGCTTCGGACATGGTGCTAGCGGCAGACGCTCATGCCAGACCGTGTGAGGTGCCCGCACTTCGGACGTGGTGAAAAAGAGGCTCGACTCTGGGCACTGCCGGAGGCTTCACAAATGGAGGGGGGTCTTGACTTAATGGGACATCTCGCAGGGGGTGGAGCAGCTTGTGAAACACGGGTGTCCGGCTCCACATGCTCCCCCCCCCGCCCGAAAATTTCCCTTCCTGTACCTGCCCGGGCATTTGTTACAGGACGACGATTTAAAACTTGCAGGCTACATCATGGGAGGCCATATTTAAGCGACTGCCGGGAACTCTGTACTGAGTAGAAAAGTCATAGGATGACGAAATACGGAGTCGCCTGGGTATGCGACGGTAAGTATACGGAGGATGGCTCCGCCTCCTGCCAGCATACGCTGGCTGGTATGTGCTGCTGAGAAAAGCCTTCTGTAGCAGCCACGACGGGCAACATGCGCTGCAATACTGCTTTTGCCGCATTCTTTCGAATACCGAATACCGCATATAATAATACTGAGTGCCACATTCTTTACAAAATGTTTTTCCACTCTTACGAATGACAACTCCACACCACGGCCCACGCGTTTGCCTCGAATTCGACTCATGCAGTTAAAACTGTGGAAAAGGCTGTTTCGTGCCCTTGCCCTTACAAAACTAGGCTACGCTTCGACGCCAGTTGGCGTGCAGAACAAGAGACCTGAACGATCTTTCTTGGTCATCACAGTAGCCGCGCCTGCGGTCGAGACATTCTACAAGCGGGTAGCAGCTACCTCGCTCGGCTGGGTCGAGGTCATATCCGACGCTGGGCCCCGCTTGGCGCCGTCAGCAGCCACGTATGGCTCGCAGCTGGGCCCCGCACAGCGCTGTCAGCAGCCAGGTATGGCTCGCAGCTGGGCCCCGCACAGCGCTGTCAGCAGCCAGGTATGGCTCGCAGTTGGGCCCCGCTCAGCGCTGTCAGCAGCCAGGTATGGCTCGCAGCTGGGCCCCGTTTGGCGCTGCCAGCAGCCAGGTATGGCTCGCAGCTGGGCCCCGCTCAGCGCTGCCAGTACGCCTCGGTGCTGGGCCCGCTCGGTGCTGGGCCCGCTCGTTCGGCGCTGCTAGCAGCCGAGGCGTACGGGGCCCAGCGCCGTACGCCTCGGTGCTGGGCCCGCTCGGCGCTGGGCCCGCTCGTTCGGCGCTACTAGCAGCCGAGGCGTACGGGGCCCAGCGCCGTGCGCCCCGGCGCTGGGCCTCGCTCGGCGCTGTCTGCGGCACGATACTCACCGCTTTGTCGAACATGGGCGGGTTGTCGTTCACATCCCGCACATTAACTACGAACGCGCACGTGCCCTCCAGCGACGGCGTGCCCTTGTCATTGGCCTTGACGATGACACGCAGCTCCTTCTCATGGTCCGGCTCATCTCGGTTAAACATCTGCGGACGGAGAGGTCAGGTCAGGTCACACGTGCAGGTCAAGTCAGGTCACTCGTGCACCGGGCTGGATTGGTGCACGGGCGAGGTACACGGTGTCGCAAAAACTGAGATCAGCTTGGGCATTGAGGACAGTCTTGAATCACGGGTCAGTCGACATAGTGACATGCTGCATTTGGCAGGCGCGCCGCAGACAGCTCAGGCATATCGGAGTACTCTGTCGCTAACACAGGCTTTCAGATACGCCGTTGGCTTTACAGCCTTGCCGTCAACTCAGCACAGGTAGTCAGATACTTTGTTAACTATTGCGGACGTAGGAGCCAGGCAGGGGTGTAATGCCCTATTCAGTTGGGTGGGGGGGGGGGGGGGCAACCTGAGCCTCAGCCCAAGCCTCTACAGTCGGTCAGGTCAACAGGGGAGCAACGCAGCAAAAGCGCGAGGGAAGTTCGACGGGTCATTCAGTTTCACAACCACGAATTGCTGTACTGAGTATCAGGCGGTGTTTGAATCAATGTCTGGTAACTCTGTCAAAAGGAGCCACTCAGTGGATTCCACGAAGTGTCTGTGAATGAGGGGAGTGCTAAAGTGGCGTGTGCACTCCCAAAGCTTTGTCCCGAACAGCGATTTCACAAAGCACCAGCTCATTTCCCCTACCAAGGTTAAAGAGATTGGGCTCCAAAGAGAATATATATATATATATATATATATATATTCGCGGTCACATGCGTGAAAAGATCCGCTATCTTGTCGCGGGGGCCACGATTTGTGTAAATATTGGAAGGGGAGAGCGACCCGAGGGACCGACCAACTACACTCCCCAAGTATAAGCCTCCCAACGCATGTAGTACATTCAAAATTCATGACAAACAATCGAAATCCTAAATCCATGCACGATATATGAAAATGATTGAAATCCATGCATATTAGATCCATGTTAGATAAATCCACGCATGATTTGAGGAAACTTTATTTGAGCAAAATAGTCATCATGGCCATCACGAAATTCCCAGCGAAGCAACATTTTTGTGGGATTTTTGTAGTCTACAAGTTTTGTAATATTGCAGAAAAACAAAATTGAAGGTCCAAACCTACCAAATACTAGAGGACCAAAATCGATATATGGGGACTCGGAGCCCTCACAATAGATTACAAATCGACGCCCAAGTCTCCTCATTCACGCACATCTCATTTTGTCGTCAGTTCGCGCTTTACACTGCGGTACACCCGCAAACTTTCAATTTCCCCATGGGTGCCAGTGGAGGTCACCGCACTCCACCGGTACCCCATCACAGCTGTTCTCTGGGAAACAGCGTTGGAACGCTTCGAGGCCAAGCAAAAACCGTAACTGGCGCGATATTTCCGTTGTCTTACTTCTGTTGAGCTCATCACGTGCTTTTTGGGAATAATCTTGCTTTTGATCTCGTAAAGTAAAGCCGGACGGCATTTTGGCAGGCCCAGCAGCTCGTGTACCAAAGTCATGCGCACACGTATTAATGGCAGGAAAAAGGCAGTAAGTTCAGGCAGGCACCACATGCAATCGCCAGGTTGGCCAGCTACCGACAGGCCACGGCACTCGTTCACAAAGAATGGTTTTCCAACAGCGCCGCATGATCCATCACACGGAGCTTCGCGATCAATCTTCAGGAGTCCGCCGATCGGCGACGGCTTCACGTGACGCCGGCTGCGCGCTGAGCAGCGCTACAAAACTGACAGCACAGACAAACGCCATCCCAAGGTCAACACGGGCCGCCAGAAAAAACTGCTAATGGATCTGTGCACTATATCCTCAGCGTAAAAGGATGTCCGTAGGGTGTTCATAAAAGTGTCCGAATTTAAAGCGCCGCTATGATCTAGGGCAAGACTTTGAACTGTTAACCTCAAGTTTGGAAAGGCTTTTAAGCCACCGGCCGGAAATGCCACGCAAAAGCGTACTGGTGTTTGTGGGATCCGGCAGACGACAGGCGGCGATCCAAATCCCTGGAAACACCGGTGATGGAAACGAACCCCCACAGCGTATCTCGAATACCAGCCCCCGATAGAACCTCGTAACCCTATAAACCCCATACCGCATCAACAAAATTAACAGTCCTAACAAATGTTTGCCTTCATGTGGGCATGCTGTATTTGAGACAAACATTGAAAGCATCGATTGATTCATGGAAGTCAGGGAGTCTTCACCGCCATCCTGTGCTTGCAATAACCAGACAGGATCAATGTAATTTGAATGGGTCGTGCTGAGGGCTATGACTAATGGGCGTCGAGCCTGAGCGATGACGCAATTCCAAGGGCCGAGCTGCGCGCCTGTGAATGGAATATGTTTCCTTCAAACATCGCCGCATGTCACCATTGGATATCGTCCTCCGCAGTCACCCAGGACGTGCTGTATGCTTTTCGCCGTAAGCTGAGATTGATAACGTCAGAACTTGCTTTGTGAGCATGCAGCTTCCCCCCCCCCCAAAGACGGGTCTTTTTGTGCCGTGGGCACACAGCCGATTTTTGTAGGGTTTTTGCAGTCTCGAGCTGAGCCCGATGGAACCTCTCGCAAAGGCCCCTCTAGGGAGTGGCAGTTAAAGGACCTCCTGATGTCTTGACTCTTCTTGAAGCCTCCTGATGTTCTAATCTTATTGAAATACGGAAAGTTGGGCGCGCTTCTTTCAGCATTCTTATTTCACGTTTTTTTTCTTCAGAATAGCGGCTCGCATTCGCTGAGGAAGGAGAAACCCAGGCCCGCGTGCCTCTGTCGCCTGCGTTCCCTGCTCACTGACGCCATGCCCAGGCCGAGGCGTGCCTCTGGGGTGTGACAGGTCGCGTGACACGTCACGTGACCTCGTCAGCCGGACGGTCGTGACGCAGCGTCGCCGTGGGCAACACGTGTTCGTGCCCGGCCCAGGCAGGCCATCACGTGGGGATTAGAGGCCAGGTAGGCAGCCGGGCCCCACCCCCGGCCAGTGACATCTGTCCAGTGGGGAAGCGGTATAGAGACCGACGCCACCGGCTGCCCCGCGACACGGGACGTGTGCCACACATGACCGGTCTCCCGGGATCACCCAGGGGCGTGCCTCAAAGCTCATCTGATCTAGGTGTCATCGAGGTTATCTCAAACCGTCACCTCACGGGTCAACTCACGCAAGAGGCTGACTCACGTTCCCCCGTCGCGCGTTTTAAAGTTGGATTTGCTTTGGATGTTGCCATTAACATTTCCGTTCATGTACGCTGGCCAATCACATTATGAACCTCTCGCTCTCATTCAGCACTTCCCTTTTGTTTGAAGTTCGTTTCCAAAGGATACTTCCGACCCCCAGCTGAATGCTGGCGATTCGGTCCTCCAGGCGCTCACAAATGACCAGGTCACTGGCTCGGCCGCCCTCAGGTCACTGGCTCGGCCGACATCAGGTCACTGGCCCGGCCGCCCTCAAGTCACTGGCTCGGCCGACCTCAAGTCACTGGCTCGGCCGACCTCAAGTCACTAGCTCGGGCGACCTCAAGTCACTGGCTCGGCCGCCCTCAGGTCACTGGCTCGGGCGACCTCAAGTCACTGGCTCGGCCGACCTCAAGTCACTAGCTCGGGCAACCTCAAGTCACTGGCTCGGGTGACCTCAGGTCACTGGCTCGGCCGCCCTCAAGCCACTGGCTCAGCCGCCCTCAGGTCACTGGCTCGGTCCACCTCAGGGCACTGGCCCGGCCGAACTCAGGACAATGGCTCGGCCGATCACAGGACACTGGCCCGGCCGATCACAGGACACTGGCAAGGCCGACCACAGGACACTGGCTCGGCCGAACTCAGGAGACTGGCTCGGGCGACCTAACGGCGAAGTCGAAGAACTGCAGGTGCAGATTTGAGAACGAACCATTCCTGTACACCGTGCACAATATTGATGTTAACACGACGCAATGAATAAAATGCCCTCACTAAATCAGACACGCAAAAGGAATCGAGGGCATAGTAAGTGTCCAGGAAGAACCAAATCAATACCTAGTCAATGCACGCTTTAACAGATGGTCCTGCAGACACGTAGCCACAATTTGCCTCAGAGGGATGCCATTTGTCTCTCGCATCTTGCAACTTTCGACCAAGTTCCCGCGAAATCTCCCAGTATCTGATTTCAACTTCTTGGGCAAGAGGGCGAGCATGGCTCCCCCGCCCCTCTCCCGGCTACGTTCCTGCGCTCTTGCTTGTTCAGCTTTGTTGATGTTAAAACATAATCTACGACCTACAACATAATACCGAAACTACAAAAGCACGGCGCATCAACAACCTTTAGATTCCCGTTCTTTTATTACTTCCACTTCATTGCTTTTCGTGTGATGATTTATTGCAAGCTGGCGACTATGATTTTTTCCACTACGAAACGAATGCGTTAGATGAAGCATACATCACGCTCCAATGTGGGCAGAAGGCATTATATCGCTCCTGGAATCAGCAATTTGGCTATGACGCAACGTGCGATCCGTCGCTATATGACGCAGCAGGGCTGTCTGACATCACTAACTGCGGGAGGGCGGGGGGGGGGGGGGGGCTGACGGTACCTTCAGCGTGGTGAGCTGCCCAGAGGCGGGGTCGATGCTGAAGAACGACTCCAGTGAGAAAGGGCTGGTCACCAGTGAGTACACCACCTGGGCGTTCTCGCCCTTGTCCGCGTCCGTCGCCTCCACCTGCAATACAAAGCACGGAGACACGTCAGCAGCACGCCCAGACGGATGGCGGAAATCCAAACTCAATCGTACATAACAGTACAAGCAGGAGGGGCGTTGAGCTCGTAACAATGTTTTGTCTGCCTCCTGTGACACATCAGAAGTAGCGCTGTATTTTCCTTTATTTACATATTCGAATGACCGCAGATGTGCTGGAATGACCTCTCAACCTTCTTTTGCTTCCGGCGAAGAAGTTTATTGGCAAGTTCTGACCAACGGCGCGGAAGGAATACGGTCGCTGATTGGATCACCAGAGCAAATGACGTTTCACCGGGCAAGATTAATAGAAAATCCAACCTTATATCTTTGTTTCTGATCGAAGGAAACACATCTCAATATTATATAGGCATCCTTCCATTATATGGCGAGGCTGGAATAAGAAAAAGGTCAGCAATCTCATATCCCTCAACGTAAAGAGGTTACTGTCTCTGTTAGTTCTACTCATGACTGAGAAGAGAAAAAAGCAACGCGGAGAAATGAAACAAGCTCTTGTTCTTTTGCATTTTGTTTTCACATCTCTCAGCTGAGATGGCACGTCGCAATCGCCAGCCAAGTTCTTAAGGCACGCAGTGTACTGGGGCTTTCCATGCCCTTTATGTTGCAACGAGCGAATGTGGACATTTACTGACAGACTTGCCTCCAATGACTATCGTTAGACGTGGCCGCGGACGCCAACTAAGCAGAGCTTACGGACGAGGAGCGGTGACGGAGGAGGTTTAGCATTAGGTCCAAGTTAGCGTATGGACAGAAGCGAACCGCAGCGCCAGCTGCCAACGCCAGACGGATTTCCGCCGTCAGGGAATATCAGGGCAAATAGCAGTGATTGAGCTATTCATAGCACAGGGTGGCTTGCTGACGTCATGCATTCGACGGCTTTCGTTCCGCGCGCTGCAGAATGTCTGGGCAGATTTCATTGACTTCTGTAATCCATGTGTTCCGGCCATATTCATACATCCCACGCGCACAGCCAGGATTCCGTCCGAGCGTCAGCACATTGCCAAAGACAAGGCATAACGTAAAGTCAATAGCCCTGACGTCATGAAGTTCTAGGCTGCTACCGCGCGACGCAACACCGCACATCTTTAGGAGAACGATAATAAAGAGGGAACTCCCAAGCTTCCAGTAAACGCGAATTATCTCCGAAAACAGAGACCACACACAATGCACTGACAACTCACTCGGCGCCAACCAAATTGCTTGTTATGTGCTCTGGCGCGCACAATGGAAGTTAAGCCAGGCCCGCTTCGCCACTTTCGCCACTACCGCAGCATCGGGGAACGGTCCTCAATGCCGATTCAGCGGCCGATGCACCGCACCAAACCGGGGCTGTAGCACTAGCTACGTTTTTACATCACCACATGCGTACGTACGCTCTCAATTGTGTCCTAATGAACCAATTAAGGTATTCATAGCGGCTTACCTGTCAGATGGCCAAGCTACGCGAGGCAGGTCCAGCATGATCAAGCTGCCATTAAGACACCTCTTAAGAATTTTGTCCTCGTGGGGTAGGCAAGGTGGCATCGAATGCAGAGTGACAGTTTGACTTTGAACGGTTGTGAAATCTCTACCTCCACATGCCATCAATTTCGGTCATTGTAATTTCTGGGCCTTACATGACATCTCTTCAAAATCTCACCTTTCGTGACCCTGAATTGACCTTTTCAAAGCTGCTAAACATTAAGAATGTCCATGCAGCCCCTCTACGCCTCTCTGCCCAACCAGAAGAGCCGGACGGCGCCTTACTCCGGACGCCGGGGCTGACCGGAGGTCAAGGTCGGGTGACGGGCGGGAGCTGACCCAGTCACAGTCGGCGAGCAGTCGGCGCCCCGCGCCGCTGCTGGCGAACAACGGCAGATCACGCTCGCCCGACTGGGCTGTATTAACAATGAGGACACGCGCCTGGGCCACCTGGGACTCGCTTATGTTGTGCAACTGCGAGGATGTGATCCGAATGACGCAGAAATTACAATCATGCGGGGACTGATTGGCGTGGTTTCAAGGGCGAAACGTACGGAAACACAGCATTTGCAATTGTTTTCAACCCAAACGTTATTGGCTTATCTTTCCTGCTTGTTGAGGCAAGAGAGATATCAAACAAGCCTAGACTACCTTTCCATTTTTCAGCTCCTCGGAACTATCTGGCCAAACAAAACCAGACGCGCCGGCTTCACAACGCAGTGAAGACTGTCCAGACTGCGTCCAAACCGGGGCCGAATATCCGACCATACCCGCGATTAATCCCCCAAATCCCGCTGCCCAACGGACGCGAAACGCCCGTGATGCCGACAGATGGGGTGCGTCGGCGTCGCCGGTGGCGTCCGTGGCTACCGACAGCGGCGGCCTCGCGCTGGATCGATGGCGGTCGCCGTGAGGACGCGACTCAATCCTGACGGAAACGAAACCAGGCACGCGGAAACCGTCCGCCGCCTATCAGATCAGGGGCGGGGGTCAACAGCGCAGCCGAGCGCCAGGCACGTGTAGTCCTGCTGACACACCGGCCGGCACATCAGGCGGCCGAACACTGCGTCAGGAGCAGCACCGCGCGGCGGAGAGGAGGTCCTGTTTACGGAACCCTGCGTCCCGCGACGGATTTATCCTGTTTGCCCTGATTGGCGCGCGTCATTAGTTGTTGGCAGCCAAACAACACGAGACTTTACTTTCAAAAATGTGATCCAGGTGATGTGCTGGCGGTGTGACGTGCTGAATGGTGAAAGAGGGGTGGACGGGAAGGGGATAGAGGAGAGGAGAGGGTTCATGTTTCCAGCGAAAGGCTCACCACCGGCTACACATTGCAAACATGTATACCCTGACGACACAACATGTGTGTAAGGCCCAATGCTGAACGAATATTGAAGAGCATTGGCATACGATATAGCTTTACATGAAATAGACCAACAAAGAGAACTTCCATATTGAAGGTCGATCACTCGGCTTAAAAACTCTGAACCCACAACACTGTTAAACCACGAGCTCAAGGCCTTTCTTTCTTGTACCAAATTCATGACTTCTAGCAAGAAAAGAAATCTGCTGTTTTACGGACCAACGGTTTGACCCTAACAAACGCAGGGTGACGAGCATACTGTCACTTCCCACCGGCGGCTCCATGACAAACGCAGGGTGACGGGCATACTGTCAGTCCCCACCGGCGGCTCCGGCTTTGGGTACCGTAACGTCCCGGCGGATGCTGCGCCGCAGCGCTGCTTCACCAGAGGGCCGGTCCCACTCTTCCACATCGACGTGGTTCACGTAAGAGCGAAAACGCCGCGGATATGTCGCGGTGCGATGCGCGAATAGTTGATACCAAAGATAACGTATGCATCTTGAAGCGGTACCCCAACCTTCTACGCATGTAGGTAGGTACTAACAATTTTTGGGGAGTGGGCCCAATTCCTTTAGCCGTGCAGTAGCGTGACATCACTAAAGAAGTTCTACAATCCTAACACCAAATTGGGTTAATACTCATTAATTACCCATTCAAAGCCCGAATCTGTTGGCAACAAGCAAACAGTACAGAACACTGCACCGGTGACAAATATTATGCGTCGTTCATATCAATGAACATAAAAACCAGAGTTTAATGCTTGGACCCACAATTTGGTCCAGCTTACTTGGTCTACCAGAAAGTTAGCAGTTACCCTATTCTTACGACGCCTTCACGGTAAAATACAAACCCGGCCGGCATCTGACAACGTGTTCAAACAGAGGGCACGGATATTGAACGCTGATAGCGAATAATCCTTCCATCTGACATCGGTACAGCGACAGAGACATCCTTGAAAAGCGCAGAAATATGACAGTCGTGATGTATTCCAGTCGCTGAATAAACACCCCAGCAGCCTCTCATCCATACTTAACGGTCATTAAACCACCGGCCTCGCCACGCGAGGTATCGGTCTCGTCGACAACGTCGTTACCGTCGCCCTCATTCATTGCTAATCGTCGGTCGGGCTCGCGTAGGGGAGGAGGAGGGGGTGTCGACCCTCGCGTCAGCCGTCGTCTCCGACGCGTCTAATGTCCCAATCGGCCCCTCCACGCCGCACAGGTGCGGAGCCACCTGTCCTCCTGGGAGGGGGCAGGGCGGCCGCCGCCCCAGGGCTCGTGTCCGCCGCTCCGGGTTCGTGTCCGCCGCACCGGGCTCGTGTCCGCCGCTCCGGGGCTCGTGTCCGCCGCTCCGGGCTCGTGTCCGCCGCACCGGGCTCGTGTCCGCCGCTCCGGGCTCGTGTCCGCCGCTCCAGGGCTCGTGTCCCCGGGCCGAGCGGAGCGGAGCGACTGGGTTCAGAGGTCAGAAGTGGTGGCGGGCCAGGAACCGTCGCCACCGCAGGCGTGTTCATGGCGGTCGGCGACAGCTCTGCAATGCACCGCACGTGCGTGGGCACGAGATGCCTCGTCGTCAACGAATCATTGGTTATCATGTCGGAGCTTTCCTGCTCCCCTTTCAAAAAATCTAGGACTGCTTCCTTCTCTCTCGCGCCGCGCACAAAAAAGTCTAACCTGGCCGTTACCTAGGATCGAACACGCGGCGCCCAAGTCACGAGACGGCACAGCCTGAGGGCCCTGTGGGACGGCGCGCCTTCTGGACGAAGGTTCAGGCACCGTCGGTGGCACGCTTACCGTGAGTACCGGCGTCCCGATGCCCTTGTTCTCCTCCACCTCCGGTCGGTACTCCTCACACTGCGGAAACTTGGGCCGGTTGTTGTTCACATCTGTGGAAGGCGGAAGCGGCGGTGACAGCGGTTCCACCGGTGCATCAGTTGGTTTGATATTTGATTTTTAGGGGGATCAGGGCGAGCGGCTGATAGCAGTGCGCGGTTCAACTGCGATCGTACGCGGCTGCGGTCACTTTCCCAAACGGCTTGAATTTGTGGACGTGGAACAACGTGAACTCGTTTGCACTGGCGAGGACACCACAAGATTGGAAGGCGAGTGGAGGAGCGGCCTCGCAGTTGTGAGCTAGCATAAGGACCGCACAGAAGCTTTATTCGGTTAGCCAGCGTAACGGCGCATAAACGCAACAGGAGAAGCAACATGATGAAATCATTGCTACGATTTGTTGACGGGACTCGGCACAATGAGAAATGTATGCTTTTGAGTATGAAAAACATTGCAAGATTTCCCCCTGAATTGCGTGGTGTCTTGTACTAGGCGCTCGCCCGATTCGCCGTAATGATCCAGTTCAGCTTTTAAATGAGCCCTGCAGTGGTAACCTACACCACCGCAGTGGTTTACTGCCCCCCCCCCCCTCCCCCAATTTCATGGTGCGCCAGTGCACTGCTGTGTGAACGCCAGTGAACGTCGGCATTACTTCCGTGACGGTGTGACTGGGGTTAAGTCGACACAAAACTATTCGAGCCATGACATTCCCTTGCCTTCCACCTGACGGAGCTACATAGATACTGTCAGGACCAGGCATGGGTCGAAGCCGGGCTTCTGGCTTCCAACCCGAAGCCGACGCCAAAACACTGACATAAAGCCGAAGTCGATGCCGAAATTTGTAGCTTCAAGTCTGAAGCTGCGGAGCCGAAGCCAGTGGTTTCGCATTTTTGAAACCTGAAGCGGAATCCGAAATCAGTGGATTCGAACTCTGTGCACGTGAAACTTCAGCCGAAGTCAGAATTGGAACCTGAGATGCGAAGCCAATGTCGAACCCATCACTCTGAAATCACGAGGCTGAAAACGAAGCCGAATCTAGTGCGCAACATTGTTCAGTAAAACCAAAACTATCTTCGCGTTTTCTAGAAATGTATGGGATCAGACAGCATATTCAGGCTTTGCGGAATGACTCGGACGAGGTGTTGGCATAACAGATAAAATGTTTCAGGCTGTCGTCCTCGTCTTGTGTGTCAGCATGCAGAGAATGTTTCGAACAATATACTGTTCGGTCGTCGTCAGGTACGAATGGGCCCTGAGAATGACGGCTGGTTTGGCTTTTAGCCATGTATGCGTACACACCGTAGCACCAAGTTGAGTGGGATATTGAGCTGGCAGAACAGACGACACTGACTCCTTGAAGAAAATCTTAACTGCGGTGAGGGAAAAACTGCCATGGTAAAGCTGAAATCAGCAGCGGAGGCCAGATTGCATGACGCCAGAGCCGGAACCATAGTTCAAAAATGGTTCGAAGCAATAGACAACACCGATTCCATTTCGTAGAAACTGTTCAACGTCGAAGCCGAAATGGCGTTCAAAATGGCATGGAACCAAAGACGAAGCCGAAGCAAGACGTGGAACAACTTGGCACCGAAGGTAAACCGAAAGTCATTGGACGACCACTGTGAGTTCGCGAAGTGGAAGCCCAAGACCGAGGCGGCTCTGTTCCCAAGACTGATGCGAACTAACACTTCACTTCGTTCTGGAATAAATAAAGTTGTAATACGTTCTTACCACACTAGACCACCGCTGCCACGTTTTAGCCGTTCCTTTCGAGGCGCGAGTTACGTGTTTGTGCGCAATTAATTACTCGGGTGATGAAGCTCCACTAACTCAACCTAAAGCACCAAGTCTAATAATAAATACGAGCGAACCTACCGCAAAACGGAGCTTCCTGCCGATTTTACATCGGCACCATTACGAAAGCTGCGGGGCCGGTCATAAACTTCGGAGGGGGAGGCAAGACGAGAATTCGGAGTGGGCTGAGATCCACCTCAGCAACTGGGCTCCTAAAATGGCTCATGACGGAGTGGGAGGGTTCTATGACGGAGTGGGGGGACTCACTGCCCGTCAGTCGGCGACTTCCACCCCTGATCTCGCGGAGTGGCCACGAGCAATTTGACCTGCTGACCAGCGGTCGTCCAGCAGGGACGGATCCAACACCGCACTTGGACGGGATGAGGCTTCGAATCCCAGGCCCGTTATCTGAAATCTGTAAATGGAACCCACACGGAAAATCCGCCTCTTCACTACCTTTGGGGCCACGACCCTCCCATCCTTCTCTCTCTCTCTCTCTCTCTCTCTCCTCTATCTCTCTCCTCTCTCTCTCTCTCTCCTCTCTCTCTCTCTCTCTCTCATCCTCTCTCTCTCTCTCTCTCTCTCTCTCTCTCTCTCTCTCCTCTCTCTCTCTCTCTCTCCTCTCTCTCTCTCCTCTCTCTCTCTCTCTCTCTCTCTCTCTCTCTCTCTCTCTCTCTTCTCTCTCTCTCTCTCCCTCTCTCTCTCTCTCTCTCTCTCTCTCTCTCTCTCTCTCTCTCTCTCTCTCTCTCTCTCTCTCTCTCTCTCTCTCTCTCTCTCTCTCTCTCCTCTCCCCTCTCCCTCTCCCTCTCCCTCTCCCTCTCCCTCTCCCTCTCCCTCTCCCTCTCCCTCTCCTCTCCCTCTCCCTCTCTCTCCCTCCTCTCCCTCTCTATCCCTCTCCCTCTCCCTCTCCCTCTCCTCTCTCTTCTTTCTCTCTCTCTTTCTCTCTCTCTCTCTCTCTTTCTCCCTCTCTTTCTCCCTCCCTTTATCTTTCGCTCTCCCTCTTGCTCTCCCTCTCGCTCCCGCTCTCCCGAATCCGCTGTCAGCGTCGGCTGGCGGTCAGGGCCGGGCACCTCTGCTCCGGAGACACATTTCGGTCCGTCAGCGCCGGGGCGCGGCACGTGAGCGCACCAAACTGCGACCGGCCCACTGACGGGCGCCGTCCTGGCCGGATGGCCCCGGTCCGGACCCGGGGACGCGGCCCTACGCCTGTTTACGAGCCTGCCGACACCTGGCCCCGCCGCCTAACGGCGCGTGGCAACAGGTGGTCGGCGGCGTCGGCGGCGACGGCGGCGGCGGCGCGCCCGACGCCCCCGTCAGGGCCCAGCAGCTCGGCGTTCCGCGATCCCCGATCGGCGAGGACGCGCGTCCGAGGTCGCGCTCGTGTGACTGGGCTGGTAGTGTTTGGCGATGCCATCGGGCACCTGGGTGTCCAATCCGTCTGTTGGGAGCAATTATCACCGATACGCAATGCATGCACCGTTGGGAAACGGTTACGATAATGAAGTCTGTTTGAAAGGTTTGACCTTCCTGTGCGGGTCATCATTTCTTAAGGACGTTAATCTGTTGGATCCTATGCGCTTGGGCTTTGCCGCCTGCTTTACAAGTGCTCCAGTTTTTACCTATCTGATGATAGCCTTGCTGTCCAAAGCATTTTCAATGCCGTTCGTGGAAAATGACAAAAGGAGAAGATTTCCGGGCGGCGTTAATCCAAAAACAGCAAAGTAAAATTCTTCGCCGTCCGAAAGACGGGTGTCGATGCTCGCCATCGCACTGCCGCTGGGCAAAACGAATAACCTCACAAAGGGAGGCATAGGAGCAGGCCGCGGTCAGGCATGAGGCTCCTCCGTTCTGATCATAGGACAGAGACAGTAAAAATAGACATAACGTGAGGATAGAAATTGGTGGCAGGTTGAAAGATGACAGCCAAAAGCTAAGGTGGCCGTAAGATGTCCGTCCTCAGGCCCGTGAAATCGCGCGTCCTGCGTTCGAATGCCCTGAGGCTGGTCAGGGTAGATAACTATGGCTGTTGACAACAAAGCGGCAACATGCGCGCAGCGCTGTCGAGGACATTAGCTGCTCTCGACACAGAGCGAAAAAAGCGCAACGCAATGGCAACATGAGCAGGGCGCACTCACCGTCCACAACGCCACCCCGCCCGCTCCGGACCGATGAAACCATGACCACTCGCCGCCCAGGACCGGACCGCAGCACATCATTCCGCGCCACCGCCGATCGCCCGAGAGCACCAAGTTTCGACAGGTGAGCCTTTATCTCATCCCCGATGCGCGGATGGCGATTCTTCGAGCAGAACAGGATTGCCGCGGACACATCCCGCCGCAGATGGTCCAAGTTTCCGATCGGGATGAGCCCGGGATTTGCCGCGCGCCAGCACCGGAGCGGAGGCACTTCCAGCGCTGTCGCCGGCGTTCCCAGCGCCGTCGACGGTGGGCGGCGTGGCAGATCTGGCGGATCGTCGCGTCCGACGGCGGCTGACACAGCTGGATCGCTCGGATCGCCCGGATCGGGCAGCTCCCAGGGCGCGGAAGCGGGGGAGCCCTCACAGGAGCACCACGACGCCAGGCGGGTCGAACATCGAACCCGGAGTCGGAGTTCAGACCAGCGCGTGTGGAGCCAAGTGATTGGCCAAACGCCACAACTAGACAGACAATCTAATAAAATAGAATATAACATAATATCGACGCCGCAAGGTTTCCATACCCCACACATCGGCTGCGTCAATACATTCCACGCATAACAGCCGCGTTGCGGGGGTTCGTGCTGTAGCAGCACCGCCACATGTCGACGCTATCGACGGACGCCGCCTGAGCAAGCGTGGTCGACCGGACATATCTGGCAGCACTCCTCTGCAGCGGTGCGGCACTGACAAAAGGGGCCAAGACGTGCTGATGGCCACAACTGCCAATCCTTCTTCCCGTGACAGTGCTGAAAGCCGTGCAGCGCCGACACAGCGCGGCGGTGATGACATCAGCGGCGACAGACCGGACGTGGCCCGCAGCCCGATGACAGTGGGGGCGGGGGGGGGGGACACCCGCGGGACTTCAACCGCCGTCACTCGAAACGGAGATTGATGGGTGGCGAGCACGCATACCGGACGATGGCGGCCGATGGTGGTGCCGATGGCCGATGGCGGACGATGGTGCGTGACGGATGACACCCAAACGACAACGCCATATAGGTGCCGAGAGGCTGTTGTGCTCGGCTGTCGACGCTGCTCAAATGACGGTGATAATTCGCGCGAAAATGGACCTTGATGAAATGGCATATTCTTGTTTGGAACAGCAGAAATGCCAATTTTGGCTCGGCACTGAGTAAGCCGGCACACGTGCGCTCTTCACCAGCCCAGCCAAAGCCCGCCGGCGAACTGCTGATGGTCTGCCAAGCTGCCGCCATTGCGCGCAACGACCATCAAACCGTAACATCCACTTTTGAAATCCTGAGCAGTAGCTTTCGGCTCGCGACAAGCGGACGTCCCATCTTCCCAACACCTCCCCTGAGGCCTGAGGCCACTCAGCTAATCACACCCATCCAGGGGCAGATCGCCCACCAAATGGGCCACGGTCCAGCTGGCACCGTCGTGGCAGACTCGTGACCCGTGACGCGGCACGCCTCGGCCGACGTCAGCGCCCAAGCGGCATACTTCACGCCGTACCCGTGTTTGCGGGGCGAACTGAGTATGCAGGTGAATGGGCTCGTTTCACTGGCCGATGACACTCGTAAAATGTGTCATTTTCGTCGCAGCCTCATTCAACTTATCATGACGGTGCTACTGGCATGTCCATCAGGCAGGGCATGGTGATCAGGCCAATCATATCGGTCACAGGCGTTGTCTGCATGGCCGGTGTACTTCCTGCGCAGCGATGCGAAATATGCAGGACACGTCCCGGCAGCAGCGCCGTTTGGGACCTCAGGTCATTCGCTTGGGTGTACACATCCTGTGCACCTGGGTGTGAACATCTTACAAGGTAGGGTCATGAGCAGCCCGTGTTCAAAGCAGGGACCACGGCTAGACCAACGCACTGCGCTCACCATACGTTTGAAACGACCTTAATGACCCCCCAACGACCCGACGCAACGGTCGATAATCATGACGCCAAGTGATATACGGTGTGATTCTGTACGCCGTGACCTTGAATGACAGGTACGGCACAACTCGATTTACGTCACCTCGACCACCACGCGAACCGGAAAACCAGGCGTGTCCTCGCCCTCCCCCCTCCCCAGAGGGGGGAGGGCGAGGACACGCCTGGTTCTGGAGGACACGCCAGAGGGGGGAGGGGCGAGGACAGCCGGGGTCACCATTAGCGAGCTCCAGCTCGATAATGGTGACCCCGGCTGACCTATGACGTGGACGTGGACGTGGGCCGTGTCGTTCTGGTCGTGGGTGTCTCTGGCGACCACCATGAACGAGTAGTCTTCCTCCGAGAACACGAACGGCCGGATCACCAGCCGGATCACGCCCGTCTGGCGGTTGATGGTGAACTGCGGGCACATGGACACGCCGTCACGGTCACGGGGTCAGGGTCAAGGTCGACGTCACGGGATCATGGTCAAGTTCAAAGTCACGGGCACGGGCACAATTCGCTTCGAGGTTGCGGGCGAGGGCAGCATCGGAACATCATGCATGAAAGACTCGGGGATGTGTCATATATATATATATATATATATATATATATATATATATATATATATATATATATACAATCGCTGAGTGCTGGAGGTGCATCGAGGTGCTGCACATTCAGCTATATTCCTGATATGCAGCTGTTGGAAGACGGGCGGAACGACTTACCCTCGCGGGACATGTCAACACGCGGGCTTTGAGTTCTCAATCAATGTGGCTATGACATCCACGAAAATTTAATGTCATAAAGTTCCGTAAGCGTGCAGGCAAAGGGAACAAGATACCAAAAACGGCGGTGTGGGAATGACACTGGCTGGGCGGATAACGCCTGGGTAATTATGCGCACGACATTTGAAGTTTCGTTACGGGAGCAGCTGGTGGAATGTCACGGCGTTTAGAGGCTGCCGCCCAGCGTCACGTCACGTCCAAAGCCCACAGCGTCACTTCCCAGCGCAGCGTACCTACAGTACCTCTCACTGGACGCAGGTGAAGCCAGCTCTCTCCCAGATAAGGCTTCGGCAAAACCCGATAGGCTGGTGGAATGCGATCCGATAATTTCACCGCGTTCGGCTTGCTTGCGGCTAGCCGACTGTGTTATCAAAAGCCCCTTCACCGGCTTTCCGTCAAAATAACACGCCCACCGACCACCGATCACTCCGGGACTTGAAAACCGTGGAGCGGTGACTGTCACCACACATTAATGGGATACATACGCTAGCATAGGTATTTACTTAGATAATTGCCACCCCTTCCCCAGCTGGTGGACAGCACTTTGCGCCGAACTCTGTTGTCTCCTTCCCACTCATCCCCATCACCATCAGAGGACCCCGACCGACAACACTGCACCTTGCCGCTTGTGTGTGATCCCCGGTACCAGATCAGCCCTCGGCTCTCCCAGGGACAGAGTGTCACACCATCCCCGGTATCAGGTCAGCCTCCGGCTCTCTCACGGACAGAGTGTCGCACCATCCCCGGTACCAGATCAGCCCTCGGCTCTCCCAGGGACAGAATGTCGCACCATCCCCGGTACCAGATCAGCCTCCGGCTCTCCCAGGGACAGTGTCGCGCCATCCCCGGTATCAGATCAGCCTCCGGCTCTCCCAGGGACAGTGTCGCGCCATCCCCGGTATCAGATCAGCCCTCGGCTCTCCCAGGGACAGAATGTCGCACCATCCCCGATATCAGATCAGCCTCCGGCTCTCCCAGGGACAGTGTCGCGCCATCCCCGGACCAGATCAGCCTCGGCTCTCCAGGGACAGAATGTCGCACCATCCCCGGTATCAGATCAGCCTCCGGCTCTCCAGGGACAGTGTCGCACCATCCCGGTAGGATCAGCCTCCGGCTCTCCCAGGGACAGAATGTCGCACCATCCCCGGTATCAGATCAGCCTCCGGCTCTCCCAGGGACAGTGTCACACCATCCCCGGTATCAGGTCAGCCTCCGGCTCTCTCACGGACAGAGTGTCGCACCATCTCCGGTATCAGGTCAGCCTCCGGCTCTCCCAGGGACAGAATGTCGCACCATCCCCGGTATCAGATCAGCCTCCGGCTCTCCGGGGACAGTGTCGCACTATCTCCGGTACCAGATCGGCCTCCGGCTCTCCCAGGGACAGAGTGTCGCACTATCTCCGGTACCAGATCAGCCTCCGGCTCTCAGGGACGAGTGTCGCACTATCTCCGTACCAGATCGGCCTCCGGCTCTCCCAGGGACAGAGTGTCGCACTATCTCCGGTACCAGATCAGCCTCCGGCTCTCCCAGGGACAGAGTGTCGCACCATCCTCAGTATCAGATCAGCCTCCGGCTCTCCCACGGACAGAATGTCGCACCATCCCCGGTATCAGATCAGCCTCCGGCTCTCCCAGGGACAGAGTGTCGCACCATCCCCGGTATCAGATCAGCCTCCGGCTCTCCCAGGGACAGAGTGTCGCACCATCCCATGGCGCCCGAGAGGAGCAATCACGTGCCATTGGCCCGATGGATCTCAAGCCCCGAGAGGCAGACCGCGCCGTCAGTTCGGCAGCGCCTGGGAGGTGCCAACGACGTTCTTTGCCAGATGGATCTCACTATTGATGGACGACGAGCACTTACGCTAATACACCAAGGTGGCTCGCTAGAAATAACGCTTAGGTTCGGCAAAAATGCACACGTGCCTATGCGCTCCACTGCGAACAGCTCGGCTTCCTCTGTGGCGATTGAACGCCGCCCCTTCTCCCCTCCGCCCAACGCACTGATGCAGTTCGAAAGAACTTCTCGATCCAGCGCCTCGCTTTCCACCATTCGCTAACGCGAATGAATAAATAAGGATGTTTTTCACTAGCGCGGCTCCAACAATTCAACCGAAGTAATGAGTTTCTTCACGGCGAAGGAAAGGCAAATATGGTAAATTCCGCACACCTGGGCGCGAATGGCCTAAGCGTACCGTATGGCCCCACGTCCGTCCCATGAGGCAAACGGCTGCAATGTGGCGCCAAATGAACCTGGCTGCACAGGAGTTATGGGATGCTATAAAATGAAAAGTCCCAAAGGCAGAGTACGTTAGCCCATGCACATCGCGGTAGCGCCAGGAACGTGTCGGACGGCGCACGGAAATTTATCGCACGAAAATGTGCTTGAAATGCAATTTCACTTTTTTCGAAAGGTACTAACGTTGTATAAGCCCAAACGAAGGTAACCATGACATCTTCTTACTTGACACGGCGCCGGCGCCGCCATGTTGAACACGGTCATCCCCTCCACACTCAGCATGATCTTACCGAGAACAACTCTCCTTCGGTTTTCCTCCGAGAACGCATTCGTTCTCGCCCCGTCTCCGCAGCTAAAGCAGCCTGTCTGTGCAGCCGCAACTTCACTTGCCCGAATGCTTCCCTGCGGCTTGAATTACCACGCAAAGACAAGGCAACAAGAGGTGTCAGGCCCGTGCAGGCCTGATCTGAGGAATCCGACCTGTCACTCACCTAACCGCCGATGCCTTAGAAACGCAAGTGCCACTTCCTCTGGGCGACAGCGTACTGGTTACCCGTGACGCAAAGAGAAAACAGAGGGGGTTACGCCTGATGATTGATCCGGCACTCGCGTGGCATTTGTTGACCCACCATCCTGACTTCCCGTCTTTGTTCCCAATAGCGCCTACCAATCACCAATCAAGCAACTCATATCATACCCACAGAAGCCAAGGGTAAACGACTGATAAATATTCAGCATCGACGGCGCATGCGCAGTACCACCGAAAACATACAGCGAAATGTAAACAGCTAGCTTGAACAGCGAACCCTACCTCTCTACTAACCATGACATGGCTAGCACTCATTGGGAGTGTTCTTATTAGTTATCATAGTTAAAAACCAATCTCAGACCTACATTTCATGAACCCTCTCTGGATAAATCAACGACGTGTATGAGCAATATCTCAAAAGCAAGCTGGCGAGAAGTGACTAAGAGTGAGCGTGAGAAAAACCCAACACAGTGTCTTGCCCCAAGCCCGAGACAAACACCCTGGTAAAAGGAACAAATGCCGTTGGTGGTTTTGCTTCCAACAAAGATGCTTATTTTGTAATACTGGCAACTGCTCCAAATAAAGATGCTCACTCTCCAGTAGCACAGTCTATTACCGTGCCATCTGGCGGCTAGATTCCAACAAAGCTGGCCATTGCTGAATTCCTTGATAACCATAATATATATATATATATATATATATATATATATATATATATATATATATATATATTTATATATACCGGGATCCTGAAGCCAAACCAGAGATGCTACAAATGTCACTATTGGCTGTCTCCGATATATTCAAAACTTGACGGTCATATTCTAAAAATTTGCGTTTGAACACCCTAGGCAAATCGCACGTGATGATGTAGTCACCGTAAAAGGGCTGCTCCAGGTCGCCTACAGTGGCATGTACAGCGGACAACGTACAGCGTAAAGTGACGTATTGCGTGCGCCACAACTGCCCCGCAGTGGTCCATTCCAGCGTGATGAACGTCGCCTTGGGCATAAGGCTGCTCAGCATTCCGCCCGTCGTCACCGTGGGCGGCCCGTCCCTACATCCCCCCAGATACGGGTGTGGAGCGGACGTGCGCCACAGGAGAAACCAATCTAACTTACTTGGTTGTATCATTCGACCCTTGGCGCCTTCTAAATCCTAGAAGAACCCTGTGCTTTTGAACTATCGCACGGAATGGTTTGCATGCACTTTTCACGACAATAAGTCTAAATTGGCTCAGATTTCTTGTCTTTGTCCCATCCATCCACAAATCTCAATCTATTTCTCTCCAGAATGGCTGCCAGCTCAGCCGTTAAGTGGGCTTCAGTACTGACATGCTCGCTCGGCCGTTTGGGCAGGGACGGACGCCACGCTCATGCATTCACTCCATCTGACCCACACATCAACGTACAACGCGAGCCAACAACTGTCCTCACACTTGTTTGCATATCACCACATAAGCCTCCAATCCAGTCATGTGGGGAAGTGCCGCAGAACACCACCACCAATTACAGCAATACTGCAGCAAACGAAAGAACATTGTGAAGGCGTAGGGTGACGGGGACATTCAAAGTCATTCCAGCCAGTGTATTTGTACTGACAATGGTTCCAGGGTGATCATAAGCCTGGCCTTTGCGGTAAGCGTGGTGGTGATGATCGAATTGCCAGCAGGGAGAAGGCATATTTGGCGCGGTTAAGAAATGTGCCGAGCATCTCTCACGAACATGTTGTATGGACCCCGTGGCTGAGCGACAGAGGGGCATATTCATGAGCCCAGGAGCGATAAACCACGAGTCAGCCCATTCCCATCCACCCGGACAAACTACGGTAACTGGTACCTGCAGCAGTGACAAGGCAGGTGCTGCCTCGAAGGCAGTGCTGTCTTCGCGAAATCGAAGTACATGCCAGCGGCCTATGACCTACGACCTCGCCGACGCAGCAGGGGCTCCGCCGATGACGACAGCACCTTCGACCCAATGTAAGTCGGCTAGCTTCCACCTGAGTAACGTTTTGTGAGCCTCATGCCAACGGCGGAAAGCAGCTTCACACGCAGGCCGCCGCGAAGCTTTCCTTCCTGCGCATGCGGCCGATCTGCATACCATCTCACAGCACGTAAAGCAACGGAGGAGGCATGATCGCTTGAGGCGCCGCCCGACCCAGCGACTCCCAGCCTCAAACAGCGTAACAAGCGGCGTTTTTTGGTCCCGAGGCATCCACACACGACAGACCGTATCATCACGGGCCGGCCTAATTGCAGCTAAACACTGTCATTCGCGCCAGAGGCGGCCCTGTCCGTCGCCCGTGGGGGCGATTTGCCCGGCGACCGGCGAGTCCATGACTCGCCCGAGGGGAGGAGCCACGAGCCCGTCCATGGTCGCCTGGCGCGTGCCGTCAGATTTGAGGGCTGAGATTTGTTCGCCCGGTGGAGCAGCCGTGCGATCGGGCTTCCGGAAGCGTGACTGAAACGCCGCCAATTAAGACCCGGAAACCGTGTCAGAAAATCGCGTTGGCGACGTTAGCGTCGATCGAGCACTTTCGGGGAAACGTCGCAACGACTTGGTGGAAGCGAGACGCCTGTCTTCGCCGAGGAGAAATAAGCGAGGACTGCGCTTCACAGCAAGCACGCAATTTAACGCTTCAACTGAGTCACGATTATAAAGCACGTAATGGTTGAAGTCCGAGAGCACAGAAGCTCGCAGCGAAACGATGCGGCATCGCCGTATCTTTCGGTCGCAGTCGGATTAAAGGTGCTCGCGGTGCCGAGCCGCGCCCGCTCCAGGACGCTAACGGGGTTTGTGGGGCTCCTATTGGCCAGGCTTTGCATTTTCAGATGGCGTGGGCGTAGGAGGCTAAATTACGTCACGCGTATGTTTGAGACCTGACAGAAAGCGTAACAACCCCCTTTGCCTCTAGTCGAAATCCTGTTGCTTCGCGACTTCATTAATTAGCTGAGGACAGAACGAGGCGCGTGGTTTCAAAAGCCATCAACGCAATCTTCCTGTGAAGATGCAGCCAGCACCGACTACCATAGCCGAGAGGTTAATGCCTCGCAATGCATAGCAAAGTTGCCTCAGGAAATCCCCACAAGGAGGTCCGCTCAGACCAAGCTACGAACTGCGGTACAGGAACGTAGCAGTTAAACAGATGCGCCCCATCGTACGTCATCGCGATGTGAGGCTTCCATCGGGTGGCGAACCCACCATTTCATACTCCTCGACGTCCAGGCCACCGGCGTCCGGTCGGATGAAGTAGCTGATGACGTCCGTGTCCGGGTCGTGGGCCACAACCGCCCGCACCAGTGATCCTGAAACCGCCCGAGGTCAGGTCAGGTCAGGTCGCAGCGGCCCACGCATGTCCTCTCACATATCCACCAACGAGCCTGAAGCCAACAGTCACACCAGGCCGGGTCAGGTCAGCACTTCACCTGGCGGTGGCATGCTGGAAACGTGAGGGTCAGGTCACATTATACCCTCCTAATTAAGGAGATGGAGCATAGACGGGTTTGTTTACGCTACCAAACCTGTCTGTCAGCAGTTCCTCTCAGATACAGGACAGCTTTTCTCTTCGCTCACTCTCTGCCCGTTACGACACACACTGGTCTAGCTCTCCCGCGCATGAGAACGGAGTCGGGCAGGCGGCGCCTCCTGTACAGTGTCGTACAGCTCTTCCAACGCTCTACCTCCGAAACTCCCTGCACTTTGTCTCCCGCGTCTTTGAATGTGAAGTGTGCAATCATTTAGCTGAAAATCAATGAACAGACGTGTGTGTGCCAGTGTGTGTGTACCTGAGGCGTGTTTTGTATGTGTGCCCTTGATGTGTTCCTGCATGATTGTTGCGTGTCCTTTTTAACACGTCTGCTCTTAACTTTATCCACTCGACACTCGGAATAGCCGTTTTACATTAGTGTTTTAAACGTCAATCCACACATACATACAAAGTCAGGGCAGTCATGAAACCTGGTGGGAGCATTTCAACCCGGACATGTCTCGACATCTGTCAGCCCATGTCTGACCAAAATGGCTTTATACGTCAGGGTCAGCAGCATCGGGATGTGCCGGCCAGCACCAAGCGGCCAAGGAATTGTCGACGTAGATTCACGCGGACGCCAGCTCGAAGAAGAAAGCACGTCTCTTACGAGTTAGAACACCGGTACTTTTCGTGCGATAAAGCGGAGGCGTGCGGTTTTCAGACCGTACCTCGCGGTGGGATTGGTGCCTCGGCTGTGATCGGCACTGCCCGTGATGACCTTCCCGGTGGGACTGATGCTTCAGTTGTGATCGGCACTGCCCGTGATGACCCTCACGGTGGGATTGATGCCTCAGTTGTAATCAGTGCTGCCCGTGATGACCTTCACGGTGGGACTGATGCTTCAGTTGTGATCGGCACTGCCCGTGATGACCCTCACGGTGGGACTGATGCTTCAGTTGTAATCAGTGCTGCCCGTGATGACCTTCACGGTGGGACTGATGCTTCAGTTGTGATCGGCACTGCCCGTGATGACCCTCACGGTGGGATTGATGCCTTAGTTGTAATCAGTACTGCCCGTGATGACCCTCACGGTGGGACTGATGCTTCAGTTGTGATCGGCACTGCCCGTGATGACCTTCACGGTGGGACTGATACTTCAGTTGTGATCGGCACTGCCCGTGATGACCCTCGCGGTGGGATTGATGCCTCAGTTGTTATCAGTGCTGCCCGTGATGACCTTCACGGTGGGACTGATGCTTCAGTTGTAATCAGTGCTGCCCGTGATGACCTTCACGGTGGGACTGATACTTCAGTTGTAATCAGTGCTGCCTGTGATGACCCTCACGGTGGGATTGATGCCTCAGTTGTAATCAGTGCTGCCCGTGATGACCTTCACGGTGGGACTGATGCCTCAGTTGTGATCGGCACTGCCCGTGATGACCCTCACGGTGGGATTGATGTCTCAGTTGTGATCGGCACTGCCCGTGATGACCCTCGCGGTGGGATTGATGCCTCAGTTGTGATCAGTACTGCCCTAAGTGACCCTCGCGGTGGGATTGATGCTTCAGTTGTGATGGGTACTGCCCGTGATGACCCTCGCGGTGGAATTGATGCTTCAGTTGTGACCAGTACTGCCCTAAGTGACCCTCGCGGTGGGATTGATGTCTCAGTTGTGATGGGTACTGCCCGTGATGACCCTCGCGGTGGGATTGATGTCTCAGTTGTGATGGGTACTGCCCGTGATGACCCTCGCGGTGGGATTGATGCCTCAGTTGTGATGGGTACTGCCCGTGATGACCCTCACGGTGGGATTGATGCCTCAGTTGTGATCGGCACTGCCCGTGATGACCCTCGCGGTGGGACTGATGCCTCAGTTGTAATCAGCGCTGCCCATGATGACCCTCGCGGTAGGATTGATGCCTCACTTGTGATCAGTGCTGCCCGTGATGACCCTCGCGGTGGGATTGATGCCTCAGTTGTGATGGGTGCTGCCCGTGATGACCCCCGTGGTGGGATTGATGCCTCAGTTGTGATCAGTACTGCCCTAAGTGACCCTCGCGGTGGGATTGATGTCTCAGTTGTGATGGGTACTGCCCGTGATGACCCTCGCGGTGGGATTGATGTCTCAGTTGTGATGGGTACTGCCCGTGATGACCCTCACGGTGGGATTGATGCCTCAGTTGTAATCAGTACTGCCCGTGATGACCCTCGCGGTGGGATTGATGCCTCAGTTGTGATCAGTACTGCCCGTGATGATCCTCGCGGTGGGATTGATGCCTCAGTTGTAATCAGCGCTGCCCGTGATGACCCTCGCGGTGGGATTGATGCCTCAGTTGTGATCAGTACTGCCCTAAGTGACCCTCGCGGTGGGATTGATGTCTCAGTTGTGATGGGTACTGCCCGTGATGACCCTCACGGTGGGATTGATGCCTCGGTTGTGATCAGTACTGCCCGTGATGACCCTCACGGTGGGATTGATGCCTCAGTTGTGATCAGTACTGCCCGTGATGACCCTCGCGGTGGGATTGATGCCTCAGTTGTCATCAGTACTGCCCGTGATGACCCTCGCGGTGGGATTGATGCCTCAGTTGTAATCAGCGCTGCCCGTGGTGACCCTCGCGGTGGGATTGATGCCTCAGTTGTGATCAGTACTGCTCGTGATGACCCTCGCGGTGGGATTGATGCCTCAGTTGTAATCAGTGCTGCCCGTGATGAACTTCACGGTGGGACTGATACTTCAGTTGTAATCAGTGCTGCCCGTGATGACCCTCGCGTTGGGATTGATGCCTCAGTTGTAATCAGTGCTGCCCGTGATGACCTTCACGGTGGGACTGATGCTTCAGTTGTGATCGGCACTGCCCGTGATGACCCTCACGGTGGGATTGATGTCTCAGTTGTAATCAGTGCTGCCCGTGATGACCTTCACGGTGGGACTGATACTTCAGTTGTAATCAGTGCTGCCCGTGATGACCCTCGCGTTGGGATTGATGCCTCAGTTGTAATCAGTGCTGCCCGTGATGACCTTCACGGTGGGACTGATGCCTCAGTTGTGATCGGCACTGCCCGTGATGACCCTCACGGTGGGATTGATGTCTCAGTTGTGATCGGCACTGCCCTAGGTGACCCTCGCGGTGGGATTGATGCTTCAGTTGTGATGGGTACTGCCCGTGATGACCCTCGCGGTGGAATTGATGCTTCAGTTGTGATCAGTACTTCCCTAAGTGACCCTCGCGGTGGGATTGATGCCTCAGTTGTGATCAGTACTGCCCTAAGTGACCCTCGCGGTGGGATTGATGTCTCAGTTGTGATGGGTACTGCCCGTGATGACCCTCACGGTGGGATTGATGCCTCAGTTGTGATCAGTACTGCCCGTGATGACCCTCGCGGTGGGATTGATGCCTCAGTTGTCATCAGTACTGCCCGTGATGACCCTCGCGGTGGGATTGATGCCTCAGTTGTAATCAGCGCTGCCCGTGGTGACCCTCGCGGTGGGATTGATGCCTCAGTTGTGATCAGTACTGCTCGTGATGACCCTCGCGGTGGGATTGATGCCTCAGTTGTAATCAGTGCTGCCCGTGATGACCTTCACGGTGGGACTGATACTTCAGTTGTAATCAGTGCTGCCCGTGATGACCCTCGCGTTGGGATTGATGCCTCAGTTGTAATCAGTGCTGCCCGTGATGACCTTCACGGTGGGACTGATGCTTCAGTTGTGATCGGCACTGCCCGTGATGACCCTCACGGTGGGATTGATGTCTCAGTTGTAATCAGTGCTGCCCGTGATGACCTTCACGGTGGGACTGATACTTCAGTTGTAATCAGTGCTGCCCGTGATGACCCTCGCGTTGGGATTGATGCCTCAGTTGTAATCAGTGCTGCCCGTGATGACCTTCACGGTGGGACTGATGCCTCAGTTGTGATCGGCACTGCCCGTGATGACCCTCACGGTGGGATTGATGTCTCAGTTGTGATCGGCACTGCCCTAGGTGACCCTCGCGGTGGGATTGATGCTTCAGTTGTGATGGGTACTGCCCGTGATGACCCTCGCGGTGGAATTGATGCTTCAGTTGTGATCAGTACTTCCCTAAGTGACCCTCGCGGTGGGATTGATGTCTCAGTTGTGATGGGTACTGCCCGTGATGACCCTCGCGGTGGAATTGATGTCTCAGTTGTGATGGGTACTGCCCGTGATGACCCTCGCGGTGGGATTGATGTCTCAGTTGTGATGGGTACTGCCCGTGATGACCCTCACGGTGGGATTGATGCCTCAGTTGTGATCGGCACTGTCCGTGATGACCCTCGCGGTGGGACTGATGCCTCAGTTGTAATCAGCGCTGCCCATGATGACCCTCGCGGTGGGATTGATGCCTCAGTTGTGATCAGTGCTGCCCGTGATGACCCTCGCGGTGGGACTGATGCCTCAGTTGTGATGGGTGCTGCCCGTGATGACCCTCGCGGTGGGATTGATGCCTCAGTTGTGATCAGTACTGCCCTAAGTGACCCTCGCGGTGGGATTGATGTCTCAGTTGTGATGGGTACTGCCCGTGATGACCCTCGCGGTGGGATTGATGTCTCAGTTGTGATGGGTACTGCCCGTGATGACCCTCACGGTGGGATTGATGCTTCAGTTGTGATGGGTACTGCCCGTGATGACCCTCGCGGTGGAATTGATGCTTCAGTTGTGATCAGTACTTCCCTAAGTGACCCTCGCGGTGGGATTGATGTCTCAGTTGTGATGGGTACTGCCCGTGATGACCCTCGCGGTGGGATTGATGTCTCAGTTGTGATGGGTACTGCCCGTGATGACCCTCGCGGTGGGATTGATGTCTCAGTTGTGGTGGGTACTGCCCGTGATGACCCTCACGGTGGGATTGATGCCTCAGTTGTGATCGGCACTGCCCGTGATGACCCTCGCGGTGGGACTGATGCCTCAGTTGTAATCAGCGCTGCCCATGATGACCCTCGCGGTGGGATTGATGCCTCAGTTGTGATCAGTGCTGCCCGTGATGACCCTCGCGGTGGGATTGATGCCTCAGTTGTGATGGGTGCTGCCCGTGATGACCCTCGCGGTGGGATTGATGCCTCAGTTGTGATCAGTACTGCCCTAAGTGACCCTCGCGGTGGGATTGATGGCTCAGTTGTGATGGGTACTGCCCGTGATGACCCTCGCGGTGGGATTGATGTCTCAGTTGTGATGGGTACTGCCCGTGATGACCCTCACGGTGGGATTGATGCCTCAGTTGTAATCAGTACTGCCCGTGATGACCCTCGCGGTGGGATTGATGCCTCAGTTGTGATCAGTACTGCCCGTGATGATCCTCGCGGTGGGATTGATGCCTCAGTTGTAATCAGCGCTGCCCGTGATGACCCTCGCGGTGGGATTGATGCCTCAGTTGTGATCAGCACTGCCCTAAGTGACCCTCACGGTGGGATTGATGCCTCAGTTGTGATCAGTACTGCCCTAAGTGACCCTCGCGGTGGGATTGATGTCTCAGTTGTGATGGGTACTGCCCGTGATGACCCTCGCGGTGGGATTGATGTCTCAGTTGTGATGGGTACTGCCCGTGATGACCCTCACGGTGGGATTGATGCCTCAGTTGTAATCAGTACTGCCCGTGATGACCCTCGCGGTGGGATTGATGCCTCAGTTGTGATCAGTACTGCCCGTGATGATCCTCGCGGTGGGATTGATGCCTCAGTTGTAATCAGCGCTGCCCGTGATGACCCTCGCGGTGGGATTGATGCCTCAGTTGTGATCAGCACTGCCCTAAGTGACCCTCACGGTGGGATTGATGCCTCAGTTGTGATCAGTACTGCCCGTGATGACCCTCGCGGTGGGATTGATGCCTCACTTGTGATCAGTACTGCCCGTGATGACCCTCGCGGTGGGATTGATGCCTCAGTTGTGATCAGTACTGCCCGTGATGACCCTCACGGTGGGATTGATGCCTCATTTGTAATCAGCGCTGCCCGCGATGACCCCTGAACACTGACGACGCTCCACAGAAATACTAGAGCCCTTGTATCACGTCGCTGAAACCAGCACCTTCAGCCTTCCATTTTCGTCGCACCCGACAGACAGATAACGTGAGAGCCAGTAACGTACGCGATAGCATCGGGCACACCTCCACCTCAGACCAGGCACAAACGGGCCTGTCACGATCGCGGGGCGGGAAGAGGGGTACACAAGGACCTCGCAGGTCCCGGCCACGCTAACAACAGCGACTTAGTGGCGGCGATTCGCATCCGTGGCTAGGCCGAACCTGACTCCGAGCCCGGCGATTACGAGGGAAGGCGCGCTGACTGGCACTGCCCCCTCCGCTCTCCCCCACCCCACTCCGCCGCCGGTGCAGCGGGCAGGCAGGCGCCTCCGTGTTTCGCCGCTTTACGTCGCGCTCGTCGACGGGCAGCGCGTCACGACCGCGGCTCGTGGAGGACTGCGTCTGGAAGGCAACCCTAGCCGCTTCATGCGCAGACCTGTGTTGCAGGACTAGCAACGAGCAGCATAGACCCGTTTACATTCTCGGTTCCGTGCGGCGCACAAAGTCAGGGTGTTTACACGCGCGACGGCGAATCCCGCGGCACAAACGGGCGCCGCGCCCGAGCATCCCTATACGGCCGAGTTTAAATCCCGGCTAGGTGCGGCACACAAAGTTCACATCTAAAGGCTTGAGCCGAAGTAGTAGCACAGCAATCTCCGCCTTCCCCGGGATCCAGATGGAACGCGTTGCGGCAGGCACTGAATGGCAATGTTCGCGGGAACGGTGTCTGTTCCAGATTAAAGTGGCGGGAGGCTGTCGGCGCCGGCCCATCGGGGACGGCAGGCAGACGACTAGAGGTCACCGGGCAGAGACGAGCGAGCAACAGGTTGCAGAGACAAGGTCAGAGAGACATTCCGACTGAGTGCAACGGGCGACTTACGTGTGAGAGAGAGGTGAGGGCGCATGCCTTTAAAGGTCACGGTGATCGACGATGCTCAAAAGAAAGGGATCATCCCATTACCCTAACTCCCAAGAAAAAGCACGTTTCCTTTGGCGCAAACGACGGAGCATTCAAGACCCCTGAACAGCATCCACACTCCAGTCACGTGCATTTTTGCAAAATACTAGGGCCAAACATGGAAAATGAGTGAACCTACCCCAAAACACACGAAACGCGCGTTTCTCCCCGGATTCAACCAATGGCATTTCTCAGAGCGGGGCCTAGACTCCCACAATGGCACAGGAAACCACACGCCTTCTCCTCGCCACTGCCGGCGCTCCCTGAGGCGTACCACGTCACCGGCGTCCACAGCGGCTGCGGCCCCACCGGCCGGCTTACCGGTACGCTGGGGTGCGGCTCGCTGCCAGCCAAGCCGGAGCTCAAGCGGGGCCCCCGGCCGGCGGAACCACGCTGCCATGCGGCGACCATCGCCAGTCGATCGGTTCATACGCCGTCCATCATTGGCACACCCTGCTGTCCGCCGACCGCGTCAAATGGCTTACGTCATGCGACAGTGAATTGGCCCCTTTACGAAGAGCCCCGTGCTGTCCATTGCGGGGCCATACTGCGGCAGTGTGTTTCATCGCTGATAACGAGTTCCTAGGTTCGGGTACGGGATCTATGCAGGAGTCCATTTTCTCGAAATTGTGCATTACCGTTTTACACTACGCTGAAGTGGTCACACGCCTATCTAATGACGGCAGATATGCATCAAAACAGAAGGCGTCTTCAAAGGGTCCCGAATCGCCGCAAGTACCTCACATACTCGTGTCAGCCTAGTAGAACAAAGCCCGAATTATGGGCCCCCATTGTCCGGCGTCCTGTGTGCATTCGCGTGGATATGCCACGTAGCCGATGTGGATGGGCTTGCGCTTGCAAATTGGTACGAAGGTATCTGAGCTTTCGGGACATCCAAGCGCAAAAGCCGAGAACGTAAAACCAGCGATATACAGCCAAGAGGCACGGGTCAGCCATCAAAACTGTTTGAGGGCTTTCTTGTTTCGGAGCATGGAGCATACCTTGCCGTGAGACTGCATTTACAGTATTTGGGAGTAGGCCTCAGAATGAAATCAGCACGAGCTGCTGGTATGTCTAAAATGTCATCTGACACTAAAAACCTTTGTTCCGTTATTATAAAAGTCAACTCTAAAGGCTCGCTTTGTTTTATTAGTTATTATTATGTATTTATGTATATTAATAAGTTACAAAAGGGAAATTCACTTCTGCTATTGCTTCGAGAAAGGCATGTTGCCGAAACATCAACCCAACTATATCTCTATTCTCCTGTTTTTTTTTCGAGAAATAAGGCTGATACTAGTGTCTGATCTATGTGACTAATGTTCCTCGATAATGCACTGAACGACTCACACAATTTGTATTATCACATTCAATAAAATCAAAACTTCATTCACTGGTCTTAACTACAACTAGGCTGCACGTGAATCAATACTAAAACCTTCACTTTGATAATTGCAACCTTGCTTGTCTAATGAATTTCAGCTACTAACTATTCCATCGTGTTGAAGCAGTTCCTTGCTTAACAATGGTGATGTAAGCACACAAAGTGAAAATGCAGTAATGTCAAAAAGCAGTACTTAATCTATTCATACCTTATGCATCAGTTTGAATCAAATTTAATTTGGTTTGCTTTAGAACAGTGCGTGCCCAAGAAATCTTCCCCGGCAGGGACCGTCAAAATACCTTGACCCGATCAAGCCAGAAATGACATGCTTGCTATGCCTCGCCCAAACTGTCTGACCTGATCACACCCAACGACGCTAACCGCCCGCTAATTGATACCAGCTCATTCCCACCCCCATTCCAGAGATGGATGCGCCAACTTCCCGTCGCGAACTACGTGACAGACGGCGCAGCCGCCGGCAGCAGGCGCGCCGCACCCTCACGCCACCAGCCGCCGACAAACCTCGGTCGCTGATGATCACAGCAGCAGGCGGAGCGCACCGCCGCGCGGTCATGGCACCACTCCGTCGCACCGACACGACACCATCAAATTAAGTCACCGCTGCTCGGAGTGAAGCGCTCCGCCACGCACGGCGCGCACGCCGAGCAGCGGCGGCGACTCCAGCAGCCGTTCATCACGCTCAGTTTCGCCGCGTGATGGATCACCCTCCGACGGGGGCGGGGAGCGGGGGGCGGGGGGGGGACTCACCGCCGGCGGCGTTCTCGTAGACGTTGGCCGTGTAGGTGCGCTCGGAGAGCTGCGGCGGCTGGTTTCCCGTCACTAGCACCGTGGCAGTGGCCATCCGATGAGGGTGCTCTGTAACGTGGCGGCGCGGCGTCACAGCATTGCCGCCGATGACGGTGGGGAGGGGAAGGGAAGGTTGGCAGGTGTTGAAGTACGCTGCGTTAAAATTAGGCGTAGCGCGGGACAAAAAAAAAGGTGGCTTGCGGTCGGTGAAAGGGGGATCAAAGTGTTGTCGTCGGGAGTAAGTAAGTTGTAAGTTGGGAGCTGAAATAATCTACCTTTATTAACTTACGTCCTGAACGCTGACGGAAAACACTCGCCATGCTTTATGAATACAAGCACAGCAGTTTTAATTACTGTCTCACTTCAACGAAATAATTCAAAGCTGCAGAGCATTCATTACTTCGTCTCTCCACTTTTTATACGCACTCCCATATTTGTATTTGTCCTGGGGCTAAGGGTGCAGTTTCGTAGAGTAAGTTGGTGGAGGGGCTGAACAGAGAAAGATGACTCAACCTGAACTCAAGATACGTAAAACGGGTTCCTCCTGGATTTTTCCCCTTCCCTTCTCAAAGATTGAGAGCTGGATTCTCCCCCCTCCCTCCCTCCCACCTTCTCCCATTGCCCTCCAACTGAACAAGAAACTACCCCTGCCTGGGACGCGTATCTGCGTCATCCGAGCGTCCACAACACTTCACACACCTGGGTTCACCGCAACAACGGTGAAGTTGAGCACTCCTCCGTCCATCAGCTGCCTGCCGTTGGTGTTGGTGAAGACGTTGCCGTTGTTATCGATTCGGAACAGCTGCGGATTGTCCACGTTGTATTGGATGTTGGGCGCTCCCGTCGCCAGCACCTGGCGGAGAAAGCAGAACTTGTGATACCAGAGGACGACAACAGGCGAGCACAGGCTCCAGCGAAGGTTACAAAACTATCCGCGAGTCGACAACCAACCATAGAAAGAGCATCTACTCGCCGCAAGCCACACACATGGTGCGAAGAAAGGCGTTACGAAAAGGCTAGACGGGTTTGCTATATTTTAGACGTAATGCGTTTTGGACAATGCGTCCGACGGCCTGAGATCTTCCAGCGGACGCCGTCTCTGAGTAATGTCGTGGCCAACTCGGAGTGCCCGATGGGCCCGGTGGGAAAATTGTAGAGGGGTTACATTTACTACCAATGCAGATGATTTGGGTCTAAGCGCGGGTTGATGGTACATGTCAACAAAGCCACTTGAAATGGTAAAACGACTGAAACAAAGCCCGCTGCACATAAATACACCAGCCCGGATGACACAAGGCTTGTTTGCGTACCAGCCATGAAAAAGTGAACTCTACCATTTCAATCAAATCAAATGCATGGAAAATGCCGTGAACTGGCATAGTGCGCCCTCGGAAAATCACAAAGGGCGTTCGTGAATTGCTTGTACAAAGGAGGGTTGAAACAGATGGGAAAATGGGTTCACTGCAGGTCAAACCACTCAGACAATGATTTGCCCTAATCGCGCAACTTGCAGCAATAATCACAGACCGTCTTGCATTACGCCCCAACAAAAACAGCTGCTGCAACTGGAATAACAACAACTCATGATAAGGACTGCCGCGGTGCAGCCGTCTGGGAGTCGACCGCAAACCGTGCAGGCAAAGAGACGGGCGCAGGCAGCTGGTTCACAGCTGCAGCTGCTCGGCTTTTCTGTACATGGAACGACAGCTGCAGCTGAGGCCTCTCAAATCAGCTGCATCTCGCGGTGGGAGGCTTTGCCGACAACGCTGGTTAACTCCGGGAAGCAAGGTGAGAAGGAGGACTCCGGCCCATTGGCTGAATGCATGAGATAGCGCTCACTTTTCACCATGGAGCAGAACGGCAGTCCGTGCGCCTCGGAGGAAAGACCATTCAAAAATGTGTAGCTGACGACGAATATGCAAATGCAGTTAAAAGGCGATTTCTATAATTTTTCAGTTATACACTTCCGGAGTTTATTAACTCAGATAAAATTGCATATGTGTTCCGTTAATGAACTATATTCCATGCAAAACACGTGAACAGTTTATGAGCTGGGACCATTTAATGAACGGTGCTCACTTATTGTTCATGCCGAAACTATACATGCAACGTTTTTCACGAATAAATTATTTGGTTTCTTCACTACGGCCATCATTTCAATACTGACGCAAAATGATGTTCATTTACTCAGCTATGTTTACGATTCGCATTTGCTGAACTGTCAGAACCATGTTCTCTCTGCTCATTTATTTAGCACTGTTAACTATACGCATTTTCTGCGCTGTCAGAACCATGTTCTTAAGCCTGTTCTGAAACTATTGGTTCGCCTTCCATAGACGACTTGTGACTGTGGGCCTGCCTATCGCATTTCGACCAACCCAATGCAGCCATTCTCCCAAATCAACCCGAGCGGCGCGTCCACTGTCTTCGTGACGGCCCATGTCACAGCCAGCGCCTCTACCGGATCATCCGACAACTACCGCCGGAAAATTGATCTGCCGGCACACAAAAACGCACACGGCTCGGATACGCATCAAAGTTTCACACGAAGACGGCTCATCGCGTGTCGGCGGTGTCAGCCCATCTCTCCATGCATGTCACTGCCTTCAGGGCCTGTAAACAGCCGATACTAGATCCCCGCTCCGAGTACGAACAAAGGAGGAATTCAGCAAAGGAGGAATTCAGCCCTAAAACAGGGTGCCAACATCACCCCGGGCATGTTTATTTAAGACTTCGTCCGAACCTTTAGATTGGACATATTCCTGAAGTGAGAGCTCACACTTAGCAGTCCTGAGCGCGTGAGCCCTTGCCCTACCATCTGGTCATGAAATTTCAGGTCAATGACAGAATTTGGCGGCGAAAACTTATCGTGCTGCATCACTCGGCGCGGTCCGTCCTAACCTGTGGCGCCACCTGACCTTAAGCGCCCGCTTCCGCCGGCCGCGGACCATCCCAGTCAGGAGAAAATAGCAATTGACTTGCGCGACTCGAACCCACCCCGCCACGGGTGGGTGGATCGGAAGGCTGGCGCTCTAACCGACTGAGCCACCGGGACGGATTCGCGCAACCCAAATGGCGGCTCACGCAAAGGGCGGGTCGAAAACATCTTCCTCCTCAACGCATCAAACTTTATCACATGTCTGCGTCGGCATGAAACGATTCGTTTTCGGGAATCAGGAGTATAGTATCGGAACTATAAATCGGGAAAGTAACAATCGGAAATTTCGCTTCATGCGTCCGCATGAAATTTCTGATTATCTCGCATGCTTGCTTACGCCGCCGCTGCAGAAATCATCGGTACCCCTTAAGGGTAGCAGGACGAATTAGTTCATTAACGTGGTACAGTTGGCTTTTGACGTCAGCAGCGACAACCCGCCACCCAATCACCCATAAGCATATATGCGCCATCGGCCACAGCCACGACGTGCGAGTTTGCAGGGCGTCTACCCGGGGATCATAATCCAACAGCAATTTGAAACGGCCACGGTCATCGGGCCGGTGAAAACAGCGACAAAAATCGCTGCCAATGGGTGCGCAGCGCTCGATGCGAACTGGCCTCGCAAACACACGGCCGGCTACAGCCACGGGCAAGCGGCGTCGCCTGAACGTCACAGGTGCGCCGCAACTGGCACGCAATTTCGCCGCCGCAGAAACCGGGCGGTGATTTGTGGTCCGATCGGCGCCGAGTGGACGGCGGCGGAGCGGAGTTCGGCGTGATAGCAGCCGCGGAGTGGGGAGTTCGGAATGGGAGTGTTCGGAGTGGGGAGTGTTCAGAGTGGGAGTGTTCGGAGTGGGGGTGTTCGGAAAGGGAGTATTCGGAGTGGGAGTGTTCGGAGTGGGAAGTGTTCGGAGTGGGAGTGTTCGGAGTGGGAGTGTTCGGAGTGGGAGTGTTCGTAGTGGGAGTGTTCGGAGTGGGAGCGTTTGGAGGGGAGTGGGAGCTCACCGCGAGGCTCGCCGGTGAGCCGAGCAACGGTTCCGGTCAGCAACCACGGGTTGAGACGCGACGACATTACTCGACGGGCAGGACTGTACGGACCAGGGGCAATGGAAGTTCTCCCACGTTGGAAGGAGGGCGATGCACTTTTTTGTTATACCCTCCAAGTCACGTTTACGTGTGGCACGACCGGGTAAAGGTCTGGACTGTGCAATAGCATAGCAGTGTTCATACTTGAGACGGACCCCCCCCCCCCCCCCCCCCAGAAGAGCAGCTGGACCCGTTCCTGGGCCGGTGCAGGACCGGCCAGGCAGAGTGGCTGAAGGCTGAAGGCCGACTGGGAAGGTCTAGACTCAGAGACAGTCGCCCCGGCTGCAAACGCCAGTGCACATGCGGCCTCGTCGCCACCCGACGCTCGTCTGGTCGCTACTCGAGAGCCGAAATCAGGGAAGCCTGCACGCTCGCACCATTGAGCGAGTTGAAGCTCATCTGCGAGGCCGCAGTTGTCACAGCCAGCGGCGGAGAGAGCCCAAAGGTCCAAAAGCCCAAAAGTTGCGAGCAAAAACGCGGCGGCGCTTAACGCAAGGAGCCGCTTCGACCATCTGCCAACTAGGCCCGGCTTATCTTCGCCGAAATGCGGGTTCGCTGTAGCGTGCATTATGCATGCAGCACCAGTGTAGTCCCGGCAGCCACGGAGTCGTAAAATAAGTCTGCTAACACCGTCGACACGCAACAACCAAACGGTGGACTAGGCGCGTTGTTTAGCTACCGGCGACTCGAATACACAATAAAATATCCTGGCAGGCCCGCAAACCACCTCCGCTCAGCGCTGGCTGTCCGCTCGAAAGTTATGTCGGCTGCTTTACCCGCTTCGCTTGAGGAAAAATAACGGCCCAATAACTACCTGAATGCGGGCAATATATCAGGAGGAGGCAGGAAGCCTCCCCCGCAACGCGCGCAGTCCATATTTCGGGTTGATTAAGAGTTATTCGTACCACGTCAGGAATTACAATGTGCCCACCAGGGAGCTCTGAATCAACAATGAAGCGAAAATCCGATCCTGCACTAAATGAAACATGGGTCACGAAGGGCCGCATTAACCTGTGGTCGGAAAAATGACAAACCATAAATCAGAGAACCACAAACGAGCTCGACAGCAAACAGTGAGACGAGCTTGACACCAAACAGTGACAGCCATGTCCTCACATATCGCTAGTCATCGCCAGGTCCTGGATCCGAATCCCATGAACTCAGAACAACGCCCATTCGCTGGGGCTGAACGCTGCGACAGGAACAGCAACTTCGCCGACAGCTACGCCTCTTTTGAAACCCCGTCTACACGTCCTCAGCGCGTAGGGTCGCGCAACGCGTCCGAAACACTCACCGCACACGGCCAGCTTCCGCCGTCGTGTCCGCACGCCAGCGGAAGTTTATCGCAACATCCTCTGCCCGGCCAGCCGCTACCAACGGGAAGCGGGCACAAACGGCGCAGTTGCGACAGATAGCCGGCGCATCCGCGGAACGGAAGGGTCCAGCAGCGGACCTAAACCTGCGGACCTGCGCCAACATCCGACCGCAGGGGGCAAGGTCCGTCGAGGCGGCTAACGCTCCAGCTCCAGCCAGGTGGTCGCGCTCGTCTGCACGCGGGAGCGCAGCGCCCCGACCGTCCTGGGTGGACGGAAGACGGCCGTTATTGTCCTGTCCTGAGGCGAGGTGTGGCTGAACTGTCCTCGGTGAACAGAAGATGGCCCTTGATTATACCGTGGTGAGGTATGCCTGAACTGTCCTCGGTGAACAGAAGATGGCCCTTGATTAAACCGTGGTGAGGAATGCTTGAACTGTCCCCGGTGAACAGAAGATGGCCCTTGATCATACAGTGGTAAGGTATGCCTGAACTGTCCTCGGTGAACAGAAGATGG